GCTGCCCGGTCCAGCTGGAAAAGATGAGGTCTGTGACTGCCAACAGCAGCTTTCCCTTTCTGCCCTCGTTCTCTCCGCTGGTGACAGAAGAGAGTTGACACGCATCGTCCTCACAGAGAGAAACTTAACTGGAGGAAAAGCCTCGCTGATACAAACAGGGCTATTTCTGTACCGCGCTATTTGCTAACGCAGCTCCGCTCAGTGCGGCCGGACCGCGGGGCACCGCACGGACGGCGCACGCTCCACACACTCTGCATGGACACCGCGCACACCCCGCATGGCACATCCCGCACGGCCCGGGGCGGCACTCATGTGCCCCAACCCCGCGCGGCGCCAAGAGGGGTGTACCGAGGCCTCCCGCGGGGGCGGCTGGTTCCCGCCGCCATGTTGGGAGTGGCGGATGGGCGGTGCCCGCTCTCGCTTCCGGGGGCGGCGGCGGCGCGCGCGGGCCGGCGCTCGGCAGCGGGGGCGGGCGGGACATGGGACCTTAAAGGGGCGGCTGAGCACGGCCCAGCCCGGCTCGGCGGGAGGGAGCGGCGGCGGTGGTACCGGTAGGTGTGCGGCCGGGCGGGCTTTGCTAGCTCGCAGCGCCCCGGGCAAGGCGGTAGCCGGGCGGATTCGGTCCTTGGCCGCTTTCCTGCCGCGTAGCGCCCTGAGCGGGGCGGGCGGGAGCCTCTGTGGGCCGAGGCGGCCTTGGCCCGGCCGCGCTCGCCCCGCGGTTGCCGGCCGGTCTCGCCTGCGTGGAGTAAGGGGGCGGCCGGGACGCGGCGAGGCCGGGGGCGGACCCGGGTCCTCCAAGCCCCCGCCTCAGCCTTGGGCTACACCCGTCCCCTCGTGTGTGGGGAGGCCTTGCGGGCTCCCCCCTGCCGGTGGTTTTTATTTGCTTGGCGAGAGCCCGTGAATTGAGCTGTTGATAGGATACGGGAGAAAACCCACCCATTGCTGCGTCTTCTTAAACCTACATTGTGCCCGGTTGCCTTTGAACTCAGCCGTAACATGTTGTAGTGGTAATCAAAAAGCATCGAACGTAACCTGTGTTTTGGTGCTTCCCTCAGCTGTAAGTCTCGATACCCTTGGCTCTTCTGGGAAGCTAATAAGAGTCAGCTTTATTTTTCACTTTTTTTCCCCTCTTTTCACTTTCTGTTTCACACAAGAAGGTTATCAAATCAATACACGTGATTTGACAACCTAAGTAAACGAGCTTAAGAAAGTTTGGAAATTTCTTTATGCAACTTCTGTAGCTATTTGCCTTCCTCTTTTTTGCTCCCTCAAAAAGGGCAGTAGATGCTCAGTGTTCAGAACTAAGGATGTTGTTTTACTTCCCCTTCATAAACAAACCTGATCCTGTGCTGTAGAGAGAACAGCTATGTAGGGAGGTGTATAGGGACAAAGGGAAAGCCTCCTATGGTATTGATTGACTGATGGAATTGAGCAGTTAATTGCTCACTGACATTCTAGTAATAAATGCCTGACCTCAGCTCTGCAGTTTTTGAACTAGGTTATTATACAGCACAATTTGTGTCATTAGAAGAAATGGAATCTGTTACTGTCTGTATGTGAATCAAAGTTTGACTATAAAATTCTGTTGGCCAGTAACTAATTTGAAGGAGGTTTCACGAGGCTTTTCCAGGGACAAAAATGAATTGTTTAGATGAGTACAGAACTGAATACACTGCACAGAGGAGGTGGCATTGCTCACGCCCGTTCTTTGTGCTATCGCCTCTGTGCAGTGTGTTCAGGAAGCTGATAAGAAAGCAGGAAGCATGCAGAGTTGTGTCCTGTTCTTGGGCCCTGGCCTCTTCCCCCAGGGTCACAGATGCTTTATTCATTTATCTTGTAGGCATAATCATGTGGAGGAGTACATTCTGGTGCTGATACCTTGTGCTACCCTGCATTATCTGGGCTGAATTTCAGCTAACTAACAAGTAGGATAATTGCTTGTGTTAAGGAAGGGTTTTTAAGAAAACAATAACTAAATTAGTGATGATGAATTTGAAAGAACAAAAGCCTCCAACCCTAAACACAAAGGTACCTAGCTTGTAAACTGCTTAATTTTTGATCTTTGCAAGCATGTACATACATTTCATAATTAACATTCATGTTTCTAAGAATATTGTTTCATGAATTTTTCTGTCTTCTGGTGAAGCCAACAGTTTGCTTTATAAGTGAAAGAACTGAGAGCATCCACTATCACCTGAGTCTGTACCAATTCACTGATGGCTAAAAATACAGCTCATGGGATTCTGGCTTTCAGTCAATTGCTGCAACAGTAGGGTTGTGTCATCACCTAACTCCTCCCTTTGTGATAAAATGGCAACATAGGCTGCATTTCTCAATCTTACTTTTAGATGTACTGGAAAGTAGCTATTCTTTTTTTCCCTGGTATGTACATGAAACATCCCATGAAAGAATTAGTGAATTGGGAATTGTAGGGATTTTAGTATTCTTACTAGTGGCTTATGTTAAAAGGGTAGAGTACAAGTATTACTTTCTCTTTCTTCTGAAGTGAAGAGATAGTTAAATACTGTTATTTGGAAGTAGAAAGGGTAGGATTCTTTGATATCATGAATTTATAAAAATGAGTAACCTTAATAAGCCTTATGGTTTTGATATTAAAGAGATAATCTTATGCCAACTTTCAGTTCTCACAGCCATTGTCTTCCATGGCCAAAAGTATTATGTTGATTTCTTCTTCTCTCACTTTACTTCCTACTCACAAGAAAATTGTGAATGCCTTACTTATTCTCCCTTTATGGAACCAAAGCACAGTCTGCTCTGTGTTATCGATGTTACCAAAACATCTTCAGCAGAAAAAAACCTGAAATGCACAACAATTGGTAAACATTTGTGTTTAGCTTTTAGTTTAGAGTTATTGGTAAAGAAGGAAGAAAATATTGCGATATTGATTAGAAGCGTATCTTCATAGCAAAGGGGCTGGGTTCAAATAGAGGACCCTCAGACGGTGAGTAAGGGATCAATTTATGATATGTAGCAAATGTGGTGGATATATGACAAATTTCTGAAAGGTATTCTGCCTGTCAGAGGCACAAAACTGCTGCTTGTTGCAGATCTCCAGCCAGAGATGCAGGACAAAAGTCTTATCACTCAAGGTGGTTTTGTGAAAGTGCAAGCAATCAAAACAATTTATTGGTCTGATGCAAGTCGACTTGTCACTTTTGACAGCCTGCTCCTGTCTATAGTCTTTTACAGACGTGGACTGTGTAACTGGAGTTGAACAAGCACTTTACTAGGTCTTGTGGTGCCCTGCAGTTAATTTAAATTCATAAAGACCAGTAAGGGTTTCAAGTGCTTTGGATAGCACAGCCTGAATGCGTCATGACTATCATAAAGAAAGGAAGTAAGTTGTCTTTTTTTCCTAGAGCTGATGAGCATTAGAATTTCTTCTCAACTAGTGCTGAAGAAAAACATGTTCAAGCAGCATGTAAATTGCCTACTATAGCTTATAATACCTTGGAAGTGTATCATAAGCCTAAGAAGATTATTGGTATTGAAAAACCCTTGAAAACACTGTGCAGCCTCACTGTTGTACTGGCTTTTGGAGCTCGTTTACATTGGAAACTGAGTGTGTTGGCATAAAAAGCTGGCTTCCGGTTTGCAAGTAATTCCGAATGAAAATGAAAACCCTTAGTGGTAGAGAGGAGTATATTTGACCAGTGAGAGGGACAACAAAAAAAATTTCATGTTAATTTTTACTGTGTGATCTGGGAAGGTGAGTGGCCAAGATGAATTATGTTGTTGCTGGCTGCATAAAACAGCACTTGGATCTTGAGAGTCTGTCAATTCAAATGCTTTTTTCCCCTCCAGAGGTTTTAATTTGCCTATTTTCAGGAAACCCAGCCAGTGAGCTGCTGTTGGATGAAGTGATACTGCCTTGGCTTTCTGATCACAAGCAGATATTTAGAATTGAAGATGTGTACATGCTGACAGTAGGTCACTGTGGGTATTGCTAACACTGAATTTGCTGCTATTGCACTATGAAAGTTATGGCTTGGCAGATGTTAGCTCTCAGTTCAATAGTTGAGATTGGGACAGAACTCTGATTCAACACTTGTGACTGATCCACCTGAAATGTGGCCACGTGAGCAGCGCTTTTCCCAAGCAAAAATTTGTCCCATCTTCTCACAAGACCACCCTACTGCTAATATAGATATAACCATAGCTGACATCACTCTGTGTCACTCTCCAGTTTTTTCAAATTAGACGAAGAACCTACGAAAATGCTTCAGCTGCTATATGGGTGTGTTGATAAACCAAATTAAGATCTCTAAACCCGAGATGCTTTAAATGGATCTGGCACCATACCAAAATCAGCCCAAAAGTGCTTGTAACGCAGGAAATATCTTGAGGTTTTAAACAGTTCTGTACAATCACCCTTGCTTTCTTTTCCTCGGTCATCTCCAACCTAAGAACCTAACATAGGAGGATGAATTGAAAGTTTTTCACAGTTTTTAGAGGCATGACTAAATGCAGAGTAAGTGGAAAAAAATGTATGTGCAGACATAAATCTATTTTCTTTTACCTCACTGTTCCTCTTGTCCAAGAGATAGAAGTAACTTCAGCCTAAACCATCCTCAGCTGGCTTGGGCAGTAATACCATAACTTTGAAATGCATTATAGTGGTGAGCTTACGGGGTGGCTTAGCCTAACAGGAGTTATGAAGAGATAACATTATGGTTGGAATTGGAATTTCAAGGAACTTTTTCTGCCCTCACGATCTCCAAAATAAAATCAGATTATTATGATTTGCAGGCCATGCATTTATTTCCTTGTTGCTCTTGTTTCACAATGAATCTTCCTTTTTTTATATGAATGTGTTGTAGTCTTAAATTTCCTGGTAGAAAAGTTTCATGAGGCTCATTACTTCATGAAGATGTATTTTTGTAGCAAGTTTAGCTGTGTCTCACCTAAAAATCCACTGCGCAGGCTGGAAGGGTTAATGACCTTTCCCAAAATCTTCGCTCGGGAAGACTGGCCATTACAGTTTTGCATAGTCTGTAAGTGCCAGGCCTTCCTATGTAAGGGGCAGAGGGAGACTTGTACTGAAATGCGTTTAATCCTTGCAGGTTGGTAACTGAGTAAATACTGCAGAATACTTTTTGATAATGAAAAGTAAATACAGCTGACATCACATCCTTCTTCAAAGGAGTTTTACTTTGTATTTAGGCACATTAGTTACTTGTTTAAAACTTAGCAGTCTAGAGAGAAAATAAACTAAAATAACGGACTGTTCCATTATAATTATGAAGTCTCATTTTAGGCTGTCCTCTTTTTTTCACGTTGGTTACTTTGTGGTTAGGATTTTTAAAATGGAAGGAGAGGGAAAGCAAAACAAATAGGCATTGAACATGGATATTAAAATAAATGCTTGCCTTGGCAATTATCATAATAAAAATACATGTTAGGTACACTTTAGCCATATCAAGTTTTTCTCTCTGTATATTTTGTCTTTATTGAGTAATCTTAATGCCTTGGATACAGAATCATTTTGTCATGTACCATTAACTTAAGAGCTGGATACCTCAATGGGTGCTTCGATTCCTCGGCAGAAAGATGGGCGAATGAGTATCCTCTATGTGTATATACTGTGTTCTGTTGGAATAGCTGAGTTGTTATTTCAATACAAATGATGTCATCTTGGGTGTTGTAACTTCTTTAGAGATATCTTGCAGTAAAGGCACATACTACGTTCAGCTATTCCAATTAGGCATGCAACTATCAAGTGTGTATTTACATCTCTGGAAACAGGCTTTTTTGGAAATGTTTGGTTTCTTTTAAATTACTGTTGTGTGCTTTTTTGACTGTTTTAAACTGCTGTATGGTGAAAAGTCTTTTTACTGCCTGGGGAATGTCTTTTTCTATTCTGCTTTATGGCACTAATTGCCTCTGCAGAGCTACTGTGCAGGTTATGTGTGGGCTTACAAAAACAATGCTGCAAACTAATGGGAATAAAACTGGCTTTTTGGAATCTATCGCATTGGGTTTGGATATTCAGTTTTAAACAGAAATTATAATCAAACAAATTCAAAGAGCCTGTTTTAAGAAGAAAATGCTATCTTGTTTTGCATAGCTCTAAAGACAATGGCTGAAAAGTGAAGGCGAGTAAGCTTGCTGGGAAGTATAGAGAAAGAAGAGTTCTCTCATTGTTCTCAGTGTCATAAGACCTTAAGAAATTATCAGAAAAGACTAGAAAATAACTGTACCCTATTATCCACGATAAAAGATTGTCAGAACATTTATCTCTTAACCAAGTGTTCTGAGTGGTTTTACTTAGCTTCCTCGCACATAGGTCATTTGTCTTTGCAGTTATGTGAAATATTGTTTTAGAGTATGGTTTCATTTCACAAGAGGCAAAACACTATGTGTCCAAATATGAGCATCAGAAGATAAACACATGCTTACCTCAGCTTTGAGGAATCCTGGATTTTCTCTGTCTGCTATGTGGAAGGGTTTTTTCCTCTACATCTTGCAGCTATATTTCTTCAGTGTTAGATCAATTTATAAACAGTTTCAAGACCAAATACCATTGATTTAAGGGGAAAGTGGAGGAGTGCTGTGGGTTTCCATAGAACTTCTTGCTGACTGGCAGTGGAACTATTCAGGAAGATGTGAGCAAGCTAGGGGAACACAAAGCTTGTCTGTCAGCTGTTAGAACTGGTTTGCTGATGACACAAAGCTGGGCGGAGTGACTGAGGCTTCAGAATGCTGTGTAGCCCTTCAGAAGGACCTGGGCAGAGAAGAACTGTCTGAAATTCAACAAAGGCAAATGCAGGGTCCTGCGCCCAGGGAAGAATAACCCTCTGCACCAGTGCAGGCTGGGATCTGACCTTCTGGAAAGCAGCTCTGCAGAGAAGGACCTGGGGGTCCTGGTGGACAACAAGCTGTCCATGAGCCAGCAGTGTGTCCTTGTGGCCAAGAAGGCCAATGGTATTCTGGGGTGCATTAGAAGAGCATTGCCAACAGATCGAGGGAGGTGATTTCGCCATTCTACTCAGCCCTGATGAGGTCACATCTGGAGTCCTATGTCCAGTTCTGGGTTCCTCAGAACAAGAGAGATATGGAGCTCCTGGAGCAAGTCTGGTGGGGGGCAACAAAGATAATTGAGGGACTGGAGCCTCTCTCATACGAGGAAAAGCTGAGGGAGCTGGGCATGTTCAGCCTTGAGAAGAGATGACTGAGAGGGGACCTCATCAATGTCTGTAAGTGTCTGAAATGCAGGTGCAAAGAGGAAGGATCCAGGCTCTTCTCTTGGTAGTGCCAAACAATAGGATGAGAGGCAATGGGCAGAGACTGATGCACAGGAAGTTCCATCTGAATATGAGGAAGAACTTCTTTACTGTGTGGGTGACTGTGCATTGGAACAGGTTGCCCAGAGAGGTTATGGAGTCTCCCTCACTGTAGATATTCAGAACTCTCTGAATGCAATCCTGTGCAGTGTGTTTTTAGGATGACCCTGCTTGAGCAGGGAGATTGGACCAGATGACCCACTGTGGTTCCTTCCAACCTTACCCTTACTGCTGAACTTCTGTGATTTGGTGGCAAATACTTGTATCTGACATTAGATAATTGCTTGAAAACAGAACTTCAGACACTTTCTGGTTTAGTGTGTTACTGTTATCTTATTTGTGTCAAAAATGGATTGGTAGTTCCTCCATCAGCTAACATAAATAGGACAAAGTTGAGTGGGAATGGTTTGATAGCTAACAGTACATGAAGTAGCTCTTCATGTGATTGTTATGTCTCTTCAGGTAATTACTACCGTATTTCAGCATGGCATTATCTTTCATAGGACTTTATTAATAAGATCACAGTTGTCAAGCCCAGGGTTTAATTTAGTAGGGTGTCTGTAAGCTTCAGTCTTGAAGTTAATTCATAATGTCATGAAGTTACCATCCAAACTGCACTACCTAGTGTTCTTAGTGTGGTAGTTGGAAGTGCTAACTGCTGTTGTCTTCCTTCTTTTTCAGCCTCACTGCTAGTTTGTTCTTCCAATGGTTTCTCCATGAACATGTGGTTCTAGTAGCACAGCACAATGTTCTGGCAGTACTGAATAAAACACAAAACTCAGTATCTGATTAAAAAGTATACACTCTTTCTTCAGATTTTGGGTGTTTTGTTGACATGAAGGTAGTAGTATAATGCATTTGCAAATAACTGTTCGAAGATAGGAGACTTATTACCCTTTAAAGACTTATTTTATAAACAAATCCTTCTTATGCATTGTTTGAGAATATTATTGTCATACCCTTACTTCAAAAGTCAAGAAACTGTTGTCCTGTGTAGCATTGGCTGCAATATGGCTCTCGGGTAACTCCAAGGCAGTCTGTAGGGTTACATTGTACATCCAGCAGTTGTGCTTATGCTGGCATGTGAACTTTTGGGTAGCCAAATCTATCAGAGATAGATTTGAAAACCTTTGCTACAGTTACAGAGTGATAAATACCAATTAAAATTTTTGCGGATGCTTTTGCATTTGAGGGATTCACCATACCACAACAACAACTACTTCTGGAGTGTGACTGGAATCATTTTAGGTGGTGTTTTATCTATGAAAATGTTTCCCCTTCTTATGACTCTTGAAATCCCTCAATGGGAATGGAAAGAACACTTAAAACTTATGCTAGTAACTTAAAGGTCTTAATGAGTTTTTTTTCTGGATTACTGGGCAAACCCATGTGCTTTTCCAACATGGGGAAACTTGTTATTTTAAGACTTAATTTCCTGATTTATTTTTTTTTACCTTAAAACAACAATAGAGTTTTCAAAAACTGTTTAGGAACCCAAGTCTTGGAAAGGAAATTATTGGATATACCAGTTGTTCCTGTATTTCTCTTAGCTCCTAAGTTAGGTCATATCAGCTGAATAATTATTTTAGTGTCTTCTAGTCCTGACTAGGTGTTGTACTAAGCAGAATGAAGTGTATAGGCTTTCATTCTTTGAACTACCTTCTAGTTTCAACTCTAAATACTGATGAAAGGATCAGTATCCTTTCAGAAATATGATGCTTAACTGGTATCTCTTATTACAGGGGGAAGATTCTCTTTAGTGTGATTACTTACAAGTAATATTACCTCATCATGGAAGAACTATCACCAGAAGAAATTCAGCTGAGGGCCAACCAGGTCACTGATGAGGTAAATATTGTAGGAAGATATCTAGGATTACAATACTTGCCTGATGAAATTAGAATATCCTTTTAAAAATAGACAGACAAGGGTCTAGCTGAATGTTTTAAATTTTCACTTGGCTAATACTGGAGTGAAGACTGCTCCTAAAAATAAGAATGAATTTAAACTTCTGAACTGTAAAATCACCTGCTTGACTGAGCACTGATCACCTACCCAGCTCCTGACTACAGAGAAAAAATGCAGGTTGAGTACGCACAGTATTGTTAGTCATATTGATACTTCGTGACTTTCTTATTTAACTAAAATCGATTTGAATATATCTCCTTTTATAATGACTTTCCAATGGGATAAGCAAAGTACTAGCAAGGACTAAAAACCAAGGAAAAAAAGTAATGTGCTGCTACTATGGCTGTATTGTAGCGTGTATTAGATATAAACAGGTTGATGAACCTTTGTATACTCATTGCCTTGCTACAATGAACTGGTAAAGAAGACTTTCATACCCTGAGATAGATATATAGATAGATATAAATATACACAGACAATTAATGCACTCATTTTAAAATTCTCTTTGTAGTCTTTGGAAAGCACAAGGAGGATTCTTGGTTTGGCCATTGAGGTAAGGAAAAGCTTTAGAATTCCCTCTGGATTTAAGTATAAGAAGCAGCATGTAAACTGTCACAGTTAGCTTAATCAGCTTTTTGTCTTTCTCAAGACACACATGTCAGTAGAAGTTGCTGCTTTAATTCAGTAGTAGAGTTGGAATGACTTAAACTTCATGAATTTCACGTTATGTCAGATCACAGAAGGCTTGATATCCTTTTTACCTGTTTTCCTCTTAAACAAAATTACTTAATCTCCAAATGCTACAGATCAGTTATAAAAAGTCTGTGATGGTCAGTTATGACTTTGTCCCTTGCTTCTTTCATTTGTCTTTTAGCTCACTTTACCTGTGAACAGTGTGAAAATGTCTCACTTTGAGGACAGTAGGGCTTTATTGGGTGGGGTAATAGAGAGCAGGGCTGCTTTGGGTTCTAAACAGACGTAATTCTACATACACCTTACAATCTGTTCATCAGTTTTAACTTTAAAGATAAGACTGAAACTCTCAACACCCTTGTACATGACTTGAACCAAATCTGTATTTTGGGTTTATCTGAGTGAAGTTTTATGAGGGATCTATTCCCCTGCGCTGTTATGGCTTGCTGAAGGTGCTGCTGTTACCAGTGAGGCATTGGAACCAGCATAGCCTAATGAATAGCTCTCTAACACAAATGTGAAGTACGTGTAATGAGCCAACAAAAATTTCTCTTGATATCATAGTTTGGTGATTCATTCTATGCTGCCAGTTTAAAGTAAAGCATGGGTGCAACTTGCATGCTAGATTCAAGATTTTGAGCCAGCAAAGAGCTGTATTGTAGTGTATTCCTCAGTGCTGATTTCTTTTGCTTCATGTTCTAAAAGTAGTGATGGTCTATTCTCTTCATGATCTCTTGTGCTGAATTCTCAAAAATGGTTATGCAGGCTTTGTTTTGCTTTCTTCTCTGCTGGCTTCCAAGACTAAAGGCCTTGTCAGCCCTATTGAAGGGTGTAGGGATAAAGAACAAGCCCAGTGCCGCTTCTCAAAATGAGGCACAGCTAGGTCTACCTTTTTAGCTTGATGTTGTCATAGTTCAATATGATTATTACAATAAATTTTATCATCTTGTTGTAATGTAAAAAAACAAAGCCTCACAAAAGCACCACTAATTGAGATAGGTGAGATGCTTATCAGCCTGTTTCACTAACATAGGATCTAATTTGAAACTTAGAATAGCTTTACTACAGAAGTTATTTCTAGCACAGTGTTTTATTATAAACTTGGCTGGATTATCCAATTTACTATGAAGACCTTCAGATTTTGCACTGCTGTACTGAAATCTGGTTTTATATCTTCAACTAAATTTCTTTCTGCAGTCCCAGGATGTTGGCATCAAAACTATTACCATGCTAGATGAACAAGGAGGTAAGTTCTTCCTTCTTCCTCTCTAACACTAAAAGTGATTATTATGACTGTAAGAAAAAAATCATCATTCAAGAGCTGTTGCTGAAACTAAAGGTTTCTTAAAGACTACTTATGTGAAAATGAGATTTGCTAGTTGGTTTTTCACAAATGTTTGTAGTATTTAAAAGAGGTTTTAAAGTAATTCAGAGATAATGTTAGTTACAATGTAATACAGAAACTGCTTCTCTCCACCGTCCTATGAATGTAACTGTGTGCATTTATTTTAAAAGCAGCAAAAAAAGTGCTGGTCTAAGGATAAGGAATATATTTTTCATGTAGTAAACAAAACTTATCACTTAATATTTATCTTAAAAAAAAAAATCCTATAAGGCAGGAAAGAAAATAGGCTTTAGTCTTGGTATAAAGATAGAACTGAAACTTGTTAAGTTCCTGATTTAAAGAAATGTTAATATTCCCCATCCTCATCTTCCCCCAATCCATGTTTATTCAGGTTACTTGTTTCTTTCCTAGAACAACTAAATCGCATAGAAGAAGGCATGGACCAGATAAATAAGGACATGAGAGAAGCTGAAAAGACACTGACAGAGCTCAACAAATGTTGTGGGCTCTGTGTCTGTCCTTGTAACAGGTCAGTTATATTGGTACTTGGGTCTGAAGTTCTAGAATATTCCCAGTAGCTGCTGTACTGGGAGATGTTCACTAATAAAAGAGCTAACTAAAAAATGCTAGCAAAGTTGATTCTTTTGGTTTGTAGAGCTGCACCCTTATAAAATTGTATAAGAGTAGCTAAAGCTTACTTGCATCTAACCATATGTTGTGCCCCTTCCACTGTAAATATAACTGTTGTATAACAACCTCCCCAATTGTGCCTTAACTTCCTTAAAGCTGATATTTAGTAGAATACTATCAATGCCCATGCAAATGAGACCAAATAGGACTTCAAATAAATATGTAAGTGCCCGCCCCTGAGAAATTTGACTCCAAAAATCTTTTTTTTTCACAAAAGCGCTTTTGTACTAACTTAAAAGCAAGAAACCTTATTTTTGGGGGAAGGAAAGTAGTATTGGTTCTCTAGGCATTTAGAAAATATTCCTGCTTTAGGGAGGGTGAGAGTAGGAGAATAGAAGAACAGAACAGACATTGGTGTTAAAGCTTTGATCTTTTCAATGATGGCTACATAAACTCTTGCAGACCTGCTTCGCACTACCTTTATAACATTACTGTTATGGCTACCATATCCAAGTCAGTTGAGTAATCTTGTATGGCACTTGATTTGTACTTTTAAACACCTAAACAGCCTGAACAATGATCAGAATTATTTTTCGAAGGTGTACTAGCTTTAAGTAGCGTGTCAAATTGTTTTGAGTGAATTGGATGTGATCATATTTCTTCCAAATGAAGGAGAAATAAATTAAGTGTGGTAACTGAAATGAATAATGTGTGTATTTGTCGTTTTTTGCTCTTTAGCATGAGCAAAAAAATCTTATTCAACTGGGAGGCAGCAGAAGTTTAGATAGAGATTCCTTGGAGTGGCTGAGTCTGGTTATCCAGGAGAATACTTTGAGGATCATTTAGGATAGATATGAATGTGGCTTTTAAGACTGAAAGTCCTAGAGCTTGAGGCCCTTGAAAAGACAGATAGTTCTGTCCTGACCTCTGGATAGGTATGCTTCCTGCTTTATATTAGTTGGATCAAGCTGCTGGACTTTGAGCATTTTGACACACTCAATCTTTGTTTCCTATAGTTGATAGTCTTATTTCACTGAAGCTAAGCAGCTTATTGACATTGAGCAAGCTTAGAATTTGTGAACTCTTGTGGCACTCCAAGTACACAGATAACAAGAAAAGAAATAAGAGTTGTGTACCAAATGAACTGTAATGTGCAGAAAAAAAAATCTACCAGATAAGTAGAGGGCAGTGCAGAAGAAGAAACAGAGAGTGTCTTTAATATATCTACTGGTACATCAATCTTTCTGTCAATGCCAGAATTATTTGTCAACCAGTTATCTCCAAAGCTTTTCATTTTTTTCACGAGCATAAAGCTAAATCGGAACACTTGTTGAATTAAATATTGCTTTTCTAATTTCTCCTAGGCTTAGATTATGTATAAAAGCTTTCTAAAAACACAATACTGGCAGTACTGTTTTACAATCTATGTACTAATAACAAGTTGCCTGTTTGTTGGTCTTTACTATTCTTTCTTCTCCATTCTTTCCTCCATTCTCTTCTAACACTGACGCTTGCTTTCTAAAAATGAAGACTAGGATAAGAAGCTGTATTCACTTAAACTGGTGACAGTGGATTTTAGGACAAGGTCAGTCTTAGTAGTGCAGATGCATATTTAACCAGCTGTCTGAAGTGATGCTTCTGTTGTCTTTGTGCTTGCATGTGCATGATGTCTGTCTGCATGCAGGTCTCCTTATGACTGATGTACTGTAATACTGATGTGAACAGAAAATACCCATTACTACAGAGGGGTAGTAGTTATAGAAATGGTGAACAACTGCTTGAGCTCTTGCTGGTATGGCAAGTTGTATAAATAGCTTTAGTTTTACAGAAATGAAATGAGAGAAGTGAACATTTGAAATGTTCAGTTGAATTTGAAAAACAGCTCTTAAAAACAGGTGGTGAGAAAATTTGTTCTTAACTGTTTTTAGTTCAAACAATGCTGTTTCTAGCTGTCTCCTTCAGATGTGAAACTAATTTTCAGGCCACTTGTTTTTTGGTAATAACATCCTTACAGTTGCCTCTGAGACCTAAGACTTTGCTTATCCAGAAGCAAATCACGCAAAGTTCTCCTGCTGTTGTGGCTTTAGTATGAAAGAGATTAAAATATAATGCTCAATCTAGTTGCTGTAAACCTAAAGAGATCTGTAAGCTTGTGTATGTACAAAGAGCTAGAATTGACTAGTTTAGGTTTCTTTAGGGTTTTGCTAGGTTCAGCACTTCAGTTGTGAACTGAGAAGTGATTCCATTTCTTCCCCTTCGTGTATTCATTCTAGATTACTGTTTGTAGGATCTGACCTGCGAAACACCGTTTCCCATTTCAAATATGTAAATGCCAGTAGAATTAGGGGAATATTTCTTCATTGCAGTGAATTTCACAACACTTCAAATGTATAACATCTGGGCTACTGAAAGGCACTGTATCTATAGAAATTGATTACAGGTAACTGTAAAGTTAGATGTACTGAAAGACACTACAGATTTCCCTTCAGAGGCTTTTAAAGAAGCAGAAAAGTGGCAGTGGAATCTGGATTGTCTAGCTTAAACCTGAAAATGCCAGAAAACAAGGTGAACATGAGAATATTCTTCTCAAAATGAGAACTGACCCCAATTTAGATCAGTTATTTTTGTGTTATATTTTCTTTCCTTCTTGCTTTTGTGGCTCTGTGATTCCTGAGACTGCTTTGTGTCAGTGTGCTTTTAATTTTTTTTCTTATGAATTATGCGATAGAAGTGTAATGGTAAGTTGTTTTGATTTAACGGAGTTAGTACAATTGAATTGCATAATGCATTAGCTATTTAAATATGATTACTGTTATTTTATAATCAAAATTACCCTGAGAAACATTAAAAAGAAAGACTTGGCAACAGAAAATATTTTATAAAAACCTATAGTGATTTATGATTTTCTTGCATAGTATAGCTATTTGTGTTTGAGGAAGTTTTTTCACTCATCCCCATTTCTTCCTGAAAAGTAACCAATCATGATTGATTATACTAATGCCTGTTGTAAGTGCAACTTTATCTTGTGACATGTAAGCCTTCCTGCTACTGTCATAAGCTTCTGTGTCCTGGTGAAGTATATTACTTTAATTCTTGTGTTAAAGCTTAAGATCACATTAATCACTGTCCTTAGTTGTGTTTGTACTATGAAGATATGAGAAATTGTATTACATAGACGAGGCTTTATCCATACAAAACTAGATCTCTTTAAGGCACAAGACAAATGTTTCTGAAAATCCTAGATTAATACTGAATTTCAGTCAGGAAGCCATATTTCTGAGGTAGTCGTTCAGATTTCTTATCTTTCTGGAGTAGGACAAAGAACTTTGAGGCCAGCAAGGCATATAGAGCAACCTGGGGAGATGGAACAGAGAACTCAGCAGATCATGTGATATCCATGCAACCAAGACGTATAAACCAGCAGCAGCCTCAGGCTTCTGGAGGACCAAGTGGTGGATATATTACAAGGTTTGCTTGTTCATATTTCTTAGCAGTTATCAGCTTCTTTCAGATGCATTTTAGGTGAAGTTCTTAAATAGTAAGTTGAAGGAGTTGTTATAGCTTGGAAAGGAGATGGCAGACACCTATGCTGTCAGTATTGTAGTGCTCATCTTACACTTTTTTTTTTTTTTTAATAGTGGTGATATTATCAGTCTATTTCTGGATGTGAGGACTATAGAGCTTAGTACTCAGTTATTGAGGGGACTCTTAAAAAAAAAGAGAGACTCTCTTAGTCATAAAGTGTATTTGAGATAAACTCATGTCTTAAAATTCCTCTGTTAGCTAGTATTTTAATTTTTAAGGCTATTTTTGTAATAATGGCTAGCTTAGCACCTTTCTTTTGGTAGATGCTTGCTTGGAATGCAGAGGGCTTTGAAAGGGGAAAAACATACCTTGGCTTAAATACATTGTGCAACAAAGTCCTATTGGACTAAATCTAGAGTAAAGCAAGTTCTTGATTCTTGAAACTTTACCTTAATTACTTGAACAGAATAACAAATGATGCCAGAGAAGATGAAATGGATGAAAATCTTGCTCAAGTGGGAAACATTCTTGGGAATTTGAAAAACATGGCTTTGGATATGGGCAATGAAATTGATGCCCAGAATAAACAAATAGACCGGATAAACGTAAAGGTAAGTGTCAAAGGTGTTGTCTGCTTTCAGCTTAGAGGTTGTAACTGAGAAGTTACTAGGAATGTGCTACTGTCCTATCTATCAGTATTTGCAGTAAATATGCATTAAGGTTATACCATCCTCTAGGTTGCAGTGATTTCAATGGGAAATATACCTTGATGTTTGGGTAAGTAGTGGAAGATTCAAATGCTTCAGAGTGTCAGGAAACCTAAATATACAGCATATATACAGGTTACTACTTACTCTGGAAACAAATAAACTTGATGGGATCAAAAGGAAAAACATTTACTGGAGGTATAACTGGGGGATTGTTGCTTGCAGGAAATCTTTTATGCGGTAGGGAATAGGTATTCATAAAAATAGGGAGGTTCTTCTGGAATTTCTAAAAAGTCACTAGAATAATTAACTATAAAATAAAACAGATAATTAATATTGGGACTGAGAAGACTTTGGAATAATGAGGTTTGTAGGTGCACAGGGACATGGTCTGCCTTCATCTGCACGTGAAGTTAGTCACAGTAAATTTCTTTTTTTATTACTTTATATTACTTAAATATTAGATTCCCCAAACAGATTAAGCATATATAAATATGTTTGGCAGAAGGGGGTGTCTTTCAAAGGGAAACTTAATGAGTATGTTAGGCCTATTTTAGAAATGCCCATATTAAAAGTTCTCTTACAAACATCCTGGTTTAGAAAGGAAATGAAAGCTTTAATGATTAGTGTATATTAAAGACTTCAAAAAGCAGCAGTGAACACAAATTCTTGTAAAATTTTAGTATTAAGACAAAATGGGAAGTTTAAAAATCTCAAAGTTTAAAATCTCACTGAAATGTGTAGTAAAGTTAAAAGCAAGATAAATGATGTTTTCTCAAAGATATGGAGCTAGTTTGACAAAAATGCTGGTTGTACTTGTGTCAGCATTTCAATTTTGTCTAGTAATTAAGGGGTTGTTGTATTAATAAGGCAAATCAGCATAGTTCTATGGAGGATGCTTTAACTGTCTTTTGCTGTTCTTGAAATTGTAGACCTGATTATCAGGTAAAAAAGTCAAATATTTTAAAGTACACCAGAATATTCCTTGGAGTTTAAAATTAGGTGGGAAATTCTTACAACTTAAAAAGCAGACTGAAAATTGCCTGCTCAAATGAACTGCAAGTAGGAATTACTATTTTTAGCAATAGTGTTTCTAGTAGATTAAAGCACCTGTTTTTGGCCTGATGCTTTTTTGCTTTAGTGGCCTGAAAAAATCTTGCTGATCAAGTCTTACTAATTCTTAAAATATGATTCTATACAAGTTAGAATTGCTTTACAGAACACAGTGAAAATGAAAGTGCAATTCCTGGCTTTGTGACTAACAACCTGTGTCAGGATAATTAAATTAATCCTTTTCTGTTGATAACTTTTTTAATCTAGTGAGCAGTATGGAAACCAAATCAAAATGCTGAGTGTAAATCTCCAAAGGACAGTATCATATAAAGAAACAAAAAGCAATATTAAGTTTAACTTCAGAATAGAGTTGATGCTGCTTTTTTTTGTTTGTTTGTTTGTTTTTCTTTTTTTAATTCTAACTTATCTGGAAAATATATAGACTTGACTAGGTGACTTTTGGTAGTCTGCAGTGCTGTGCAGGACTCCTAATCTGAGTAAACCTGTAATGAAACTTATGTTATTGGCTTTTTCTTAGAAGCAGATCTAGTAGTTAGATGGATGTGTTTCTGAAGTGTTGTTAGTCTCACTTTTGTATAGTAGATTCTTGCCCCTCCCTCTACCCTTGACCTGAAAGGCAGGAAGGAGAGAAAAGGAGGGAAGGACTTGAACTGCAGATGTCCTTTTACCGGCCATTTGCAGTATGAAGTTGTGAAATAGCTAATACTTGGCACAGGTAGAACTTCTTAGGAGTTCCTCTAATGATGAGGACATTCCCCACTGCAGGCTGGATAACTGAGGAATTATTTCAAATCTCCTTATCATACCTTTCAACAAAACTGTATTTTGACACTTTTTCAACCTAGATGTTGTGAGCTGATTTTTTGATGCTTTATGGTAGTAAAACAATAATAAAGCAAAGAGCTTTTTTGTACAAATACCATATTCTTATGACACTAGGACACTGGAGGGTGTGTGAATGAAAACCAGGGATTTGTGCTAAGCAAAATAATTCTGACTTTATGCTAGGTCTACTTTTGACTATTACTTCTAGTTCAGAGCAATTTTGTTGCTCTGTAAAGGTCCTTAAGATGTCCAAAGACTTGGAGAGAGGGAATTTTTATCTCCTTATTTTGTTTAATATTGTTCCTGACCAACTGAGGCAAGCTGCTGTTTTGAAAGTCTGCAGCTAAAGAGTAGAAACTACTTCTCCTGATTTTTGTTTCTGCCAAAATTGACAGCATATACTGGCTTCCCAACTGTCTATGGCAGTGATAATACCTTGGAATTCAGAAGTTCATGTCAGTTTGAATTTTTAAACTGTTTTGCCTGGAGTCTGCAAATGATGTATGAATTTCTCTCTTTCAGGCTGATACAAACAGGGACCGCATTGAGCAAGCCAACATCAGAGCCAAGAAATTAATTGACAATTAAAGCCTACTGTCATTGTTCAATGACACTGTCTCTCCAGCTGCAAACCACCATATTCATGGATCTGTGAACTTTTATTCTTTAATAAGAGGGGCTGGGAAAAATGAAGCAGTAACTTTCTATAGTAATTAATTTTCTCTTATTGCTTCATGTAAACATGGCTTTGACTCAAAGAAAGCAGCCAACTTCCTTCTACTCATCTGCCTTCACTTCCTCTATACTGCTCAGGGCTAAAAGTATTAGGGCTTTGAGAATCTTCTTGCATGTTTTATTCCTCCTCCCAGTTTTCCTTTTTTTTTAATTTTTTTTTTTTAATTTCCTGCATCGAAAATACAGTCCTTTTATTGAAGCTGAACAAGCAGGGGTAACCTGAATTCACAGTTGTGGAAAGTTGGAGAGGGCACTTTGCACTGTTTGAAATACCTCATAAGTTGAGTGTCTTCACTAAAATAGGGACTTGGTGAACATTGTCTAACTTGTATCTCTAGCATGCTAACCATAGCTTTACAATCCAAACCACATGACTGGTTTGGGGTTGAGTTTGTGGATCAAAAAATTGAAGAGGCCCATTACTTACAGCTTGTGAGTTGAGGGCTTTAAAACACTTTGTAACCACACGAACTTTAAGGTAATGGTAACTGGAGGGATATAGAGGTTTCCATTTCTTTACTGTAAATTGGCATCACTTTGGAGGCCATGACTAGGAAATCATGCTGCATTGTTCTGATATTTGTTGTGCGTGTATATATATGCCTGATCTAAACCCTGTGCACACGTGAGTAGAAGAAAATAAAACTATCTCCCTAAAGTATTTATTTGATGGAAATTTTTACACCCCTCATCTGAAAATTAACTTCTAAGTGTTTGAATGATGCATCTAAACTGGAAGAAACTGAGTAGAAAAGCATGCAGATCTCTTGCATCCCATATCTTATTCTCTTTTGCCCAGTTTTCACTGGAGTTCAGTTTATGCCTTTCTCCAGTACAAAATAGTGACTGAAATCTGGTGTGGAGTTTGCTGTCAGCAGTGATTTTGGGAGTACTTTTTAAACCTATCAAAACCAGAGAAGCTTATTACGAAACTTTTTTGTCACAGGTCTGGAGGAAGAAGTAGCCATTTATGAACTGTATGCTAGTTCTAAATAAACTAGTTCTAAATAGTTTCCTGACTGGTTTATTATTGCAGATATTGGGACTGGCAATTGGAAATATTACATGTCCAAGTTACTTGCAACTAAAAGTTCTTGTTCTATTGCAGAATAGAGGAGTTTCTGACCAGGTGAGGTGAAGCTCTTTCCTATGAAGAAAAACATTTTGGTTTTACTGTAGTATAATTGGATTTATTTCCAGAATTTTTCTTTAAAGCTTTATAGTAATTAAATTGCAAGTGGCTTATATAATTTTAACTCCACCCAGCTATATACTATGCCTGTTTTACAGTTGAAAGTGATGCTTTGGAGTAACCCATGATACTCAGTGTTGGATGGCAAAAATCTTCAAACCAAATTGATTGGAGGAATAATTAAAACTAATAGCATTATGGGGTGTTTTTTTGGGAGGACAGTCTACAAGTATCCTGTAGCCACTAATATTGAATCCCAGGGCTAGAGATGACACTAATCCATTGAAATGTTTAGACAGTGTTAGGTATTTTGTTTTCTTTTTAGCAGAAATACAGTCAGTATTAGTGGTATATTTTCAGTTCACTCCCAGCACAACTTGATATTTAAAGAAAAAAACCAAAATCAGCAACCACACATACACAAAACTCAACAAAAACCTAACCAAACAAAACAGAAAAACCCAAACAACTGACCAAAGGATGAAACAGCTGCATGTAATAAATAGGCCAGTGGCAGTTTGCCTTATGTGAAGAAGGTGAAGTCATTTTTAGGGCATTAGGTACTTCAGTACTGTGGATTGGCTCCTGTCTAGCTTCCAGTAATTGTTGCAAAGCCAATGAATTTCAAAAGCTTACTAGTTGCCCAATCAGTAAATGAAGATTATATGCTTAAAAACCCAAGTAGCAAAGAAGTACTTTTTAAGAACATGGCATAGTAAACTTCAAAGAACCACCTACATAAGAAAGTGTAGGGAATTTTGGATGAGCTTTTTTTTTCCTTCTTACAAACTTCATGTTAACTGAAGGATTATTTGCTGCTAGTTGTGAAAGCAAAGTATACATTATTTAATTGTCTTCCTGGGACAGAAGACTGAATTGGTTACCTTTTATTCTGCTTACACAATGCAAACCTGCTCTGTAGCATTTGAACATTTCAAACATTGGAATGTTTTTCTCCCTTGCCACTACAAGTCCATATTCTTGACTCGCCTGAGCTCTAACAACAAATTAACACATTGGCTGACAGAACACTGTGATGGGTATATCAGAATTGTAATATTGCAATGAATACCACACAAGGAAATAATTTCTGAGACTCTGAGCTGAGTATTAGCGGAGCATCGATACTATTTTCTGATCTGCAAGACCCAAATCCATGAGGGAGTTGGTGCCTTTATGTTAGTGAACAACACAGTCTGCTACTTGGATTGTCTTACTGTTGTCTATAGAATAGATGCCTAATTTCCGTATCTATGGTATGAAATCAACCCTTGTACATCTTTGTATGTCTGAATGCTATTAAGAATGAAGGCTTACAGTTTCTGCTTTTGATTGTTAAATTATATATTGTGCACAAAAATACATACTTTTATAACTGAATGTGTTCTAAAATTATTTTCTCTTAAAAATGTCGTCGTTTAGTTTCCTGTCCTTGAAAAACTTGGCAGAAGTACTTGCTACTATGCAACTAGGAAGTTTCTCTTCTATTTTTATTTCACAGAATAATACTAACAAAGTATAAGGTGTGGTTGGGAAGAGAGGAATATTGTGAACTTTAACAGTCTACTTTGGATCCCTGTATAATCAGCATCTCCAAGCTTCAAACTATGAAATGTGTCTATCTCTTAGAAAGACTGCAGTTTGACATGGGTGTATAGTTCAGGATGATAAAGAAACAAAAAATACCTTTAAAACTTTCCAGTCAAGTATCAGTAACAGATACCTAGAATATACATAGTCCAGTAGGTAAAATCTAGTGATTTAACCTCCTGCCAATGCAATTTCACTTGTGAGGCAATTTAGTTTGTATTTTCTCTAATACGTAGAGCTTCAGATTCCCAGAATGCTCTTAAAGGGGAGTAGGTGTGGGGGGAAAATACAGACTTTTGACTAGCAACAGTTCTGAGCTGCAAGAGAGAGTAGCCTACCTGGGAAGGGCTTGGAAAAAGTACTTCTAATATAGTATATTACTAATGTAGTAACTAGAAAAAAAAAAAGATAAGGAACAGCCTGCTTTCGTAACTATTCTGAGCAGGCAGCACATGTCCCAGGGGTACACTTAAATGGCAATAATTGGTAAATTCAAGCTAGTCTATGCCTTGACGAAAGACCAATCTTCTTAACACAGCAATAGCTACAGTATGAATTCCAGCACGTGCTGCTTGTGCAGCTACCTGCGGAACTTACCTCTGTGAAGGCTATATGGTGAAACAATTCACTGTTTACACGATGCAGTGACTAAGTTGCTAATTCACCTTTGCTGCACTTCAAGCAGTGCTGTGTCTAAATGCTGTTTGAATAGATGGATGACATGTATCTTACTGAAATGGAAAATTGGAGAGCAAAAGGTCTGAAATAAAATACATGAATGGTTTACTTTGTTAACTAGGGTAGCATCTTCTACTTCAGTAATTCCAAGGCTATGAAACTGCAAGTGTAATTGTGCATGGAAATAAAATGATTTTATAACTTCAGTTGTAGAGTAGGGGTGATGAGAAGGGAAAACAAACTCCCACTATAAAACTACTAGTAGACGATACAGAGCACTGAAATGTATAGAACAGCATTCTACTATGTGACTTGGTCACAGTTATTCACTGCTGTGAGTTAAACATGTAAGGGTATCAGCCAGTTCTTTTTTCCTTGAAACAGTCGTCTTCTGTTCTGGAACAAGTTTTGTTAATCCAGAACTAACTCTGCTCCAATCAGTATTTTCCATGGTGCTCTCTCCATTTTGCTGTACAAAAGCTCTGATAGTTGCCATAACTCCAAAGTAGCAAAGGAGCCTAACAATGAGTAACTGAAAGGTTTCTAAATGTATTACTGATCACATAAAAGAAATGTTGACTTATTTTCTCAAATGCTTCCAAAAGCAGTAAGACTTTTTTATAGCATTGCTAACTCAATTTTCAACTGTTCTACCATCTCTTCTTACACCTCTTTGTTGAATAGAAAAAACAGATAAATGTTAAATGAGAGAAGCAGCATCTCTGTGCACACATATTTCCTGTTAAAAAATAATAAAACCAAAATGCCACCACAGCAGAGTGGCACCACATTGCCAAGTGTATACATATTGATGATAGACCACTCTAGAGTTGTCAGAGCTGGTGAATGCAAAGGGAAATTTGGTAACTGGAAGGCTTTGTTCTGTTCATATCTTGTGCACAGCAACTCTCTAGGAAAAACTAGTACTTCAAATGGGATTTAGGTATCAAGGGGAAGGAGGTAAACTTTAGAACAAGCCCACAGGCTTTATTTGCTACTGGCTTTGCATGTCATAATCTGTGGAATCTATTATTATGAAGCTGAATAGATTTCTGACTCTATAGGGCCTTGCATTATGTGTTCTTAAAGCACTTCCCTAGTTATGTCTTGCAAAACAAAGTAGCCTCAGAAAAGCTGTCTGCCATCAGCTACTTCTTATGAAAAGCTAGTAGGTTGTTTTTTTCATAAAGTGGTGGAATTGGATTCTTAAAGAAAACTGTGTGGTGGTTTGAGCCACCACAAAAATCCAAAATCCAATTTCCAGGCTTCCCCCACCCCTTCCCACAATTTTATCTCAACACCGAAGAGAAACTTTCAGGCAAGAGGCTTCTACAAGGGAAAAGGGGAAGTATATATAAATTTATTTTACACAAATAAATATACTGTACAAGCTAAAAGCAACTATATATATAATATTACACACTTCTATCAGTCCCTTTAAGCTTCTCCCTTAATTCAGTCCAGGAAAAGCCCTTCAGGCTGATAGGTAACCAGTCTTTCTCTCGTGGGAGTGTTCAGGGAACCGGATTCATTCCCCCCACCAACCTCCAGCTGTTTGCTGAAGTCTTTTCTTCCTCATGAAGTCCAAGAAGATAGCTCTGAGTCCTTTCTCCTTGGTTCTGTGCCATCTCTGCTGTGTGATTCTCTCTCTCATACCTCGGTTCTGTACTGTATCACAGTACGCATCCTGGAATGTTCATTCCTTCTCCGAGTTTTCGGCTGTTCTCCATTTTAAATCACTGCAAGGACATCCTCCGGGCCTTTCTCTGGTCCGTCTCCAATTTCACCTGGGGTTATCTCCCTGGCACCGGGCTGCATTCTGCCCGTCCACTTTGGCTCTGCTCCAATGCTGAGCGTCCCCTCTACAGTGAGAGGGAAAAGAAGAAGCCCCTCCGCAGTCTAGCTGCAAAGGTGGGGGGAAGAGGGCTTGGCTCCTCTCTCCCACTTACCTTTAGGTGCTGTGAGTCCCTTCCCTCATAACACACACTCACTCCAATGCTGCCTCCAACCCTGGCTTAGGCCAGAGTTGTGGGCCGCAGGGCCCCCCTTTCCCTTGGACAGGAAAAAAGGGGGCCCTGCCACCCGTGGGCCTTTCTCACACCCACACACCCACACAGCAGCAGGCAGGCAGACTGATTGCCAACAACTCCCGCAGTTGTGTATCTATGATTTTTCACAGGGGCAGACAAAACGAGCAGTGATTGGCCCTCCAGGGGAGACTGCCCTGGCACCCAATCACCTCTAGGCCCCCTGGCTCCTGGGGGGGCAATTTTCAAACCATGACAAACTGGTTGCCTGTTAAATGATGGATCACATCCATCCTTTGAATAGCTACAAATAGGGAACTAGATACCTCTCTTAGTATCTTATAAAAGAACCACTTACTGCTAATCTTAATTTTGGCTGTTATGTTGAAGTGTAGCTGTTACCAACAACTGACAGACCCAAGTACCTAAGTGAGGGCTTTCAGTGACAGCTTAATACTACTTATTAAAGTGAAAACAGCAGGAGTTACACCAAATGAACTGATTTTTTGAAAATAATTTACTAAAATATACAAGTACATTTTCCTTTTCAGTATAAGTTACATAATTGTACACATTTTTACCTCTTTCTAGGTGCTTTTGATAGTAAGGCAGCAGCAGTGAGCCGATGACTAAAACCTTCAGCATTGCTCTGTACAAGAGTCAGTGCAAGGATATTGTATTTTCTAGCAATATACATTTTTAGTAAATACATTGAAGATGAACCTAGTTTTTATTCAATAAAGCTCAAGCAGAAGTGGGCTGTAGTGCAATTCTTGCTTATGGGAAAAGAAAGCCTATACAATAAATTATGAATGAAGGATGCTCAAACCACAATTTGTTTACTGGAAGCTGTTAATAAAACATTTAACCACAACTACTTGTGCTTCATAAAAAAAACTCATACAGGTTATAAATTAAAACCTTGCCTATAGAAGTTCTTCTCTGTGCTTACTGCAAGACATACAATGCTTTGGTGGTAGAACTTCCATGTTCTATCATGGAAAAATGTTTCCAGAAGAAATAATCCTCTTACAAATCAACAGCCAGCTTCATGACAAAAGGGAACTGGCAACTTTGAAATGCTCATTCCCTTTCTCTGTGAAAGAACAAGCCGTGACAAAGGAGAACACGTACTGTGTTAAAAGCTATTGTGGCACAAAAATCAAAACTGGCCCCTGGGCAGGTTCATCAGTTCAATACCTATGTTCTCTAGTTCAAGTTTATTCAATGCAGCCTTAACAGGCTCTATCAGACTGCTAGAGGAGGAGTACTCTGATCATTTCCTTCATCAGTCTTGGTTTAAGTCAGTGAAGCAGGTACTTCTAGTCTCTCTTCTTATTAGTAACATACCGGGTCAGAATAATGATCATGCAAACTTCTTCTTTGTAGCTGTAAATCGTTCCATGTACTACAAAGAAAACAAAAACCATCTAAGATTCAGAAATTAATAGAGGATTCGTTACTGCTAAAAGCAGCTAAGCTTCTGCACTCAGACTCAAAAACATTCTGCATCTAAAGCATATTTTTATATCCCAGATGTAACCATTAGAGCTTTAATTTCAAATGAACAAAAAACTCCCCAAAAATTTATGCCATTTGCTGCAATTCAGACTAATGGTCAAGTCTCAAGTGTTAAAGATGAAATAATGTTAAATATGAAGCATCCGTTATTTTTTGTCCCATCAAAGTGAAGACACACACCTGTCATCATTAGCTGCCCTTTAAGAGATGCTGATGAAAATCATTAATCCTGAATCCTATGAGAAAGTTAATATTTGAAGAACTCTTGATATTCTTTTTAGAGATAAGCTGTGAATCCAATACCAGTGACAATACCGATATACTATTTTGTGCTTTTATTCACCAGCATAAATGCTTAGTATTCTGAGGAGGTACCGGGTAAGGACTTCACTTTTTAAAAAAACACAAAACAAAAAAACCCCAACCGACCGAAAAAAAAAAACAACAACCAAAAAAAAAACCCCACAACCCACAAACCTTGTCATAACCTTCCAGTTCTCTGAGTTTCTTGATTTCAAAGAGGTTGCCTTCTACTGCAAGCAGTGAGATCTGGGAATCACTAAG